TTTTGCCATGTTAGCCAGGATGGTCTCGATCTCCTGACCTCATGATCTGTCCACCTCGGCCTCACAAAGTGCTAGGATTACAGGTGTGAGCCACCGTACTGCTGTACTTTTAAGAAGACAACAGTATGAAGAAACAAGGAGCACACAGTGCACAGACAGGCACAGACTGCAGTGATGCATCTAAAAAGCCGAGGAATGGCAAAGGGTGCTAGCAGTCACCAGCAGCAGGGACAGGGGCATGGGACAGATTCTCTCTTGGAGCCCTCAGGAAAGATCAACCCTGCTGATGCCTGACTTTGGACTTCTGCCACCAGACTATGAGAGAATAAAATTCTGCTGTTTTTAGGCCACTCAGTTTGTAATTATTTGTTTCGGCAGACCTCAGAAACTAACAGTGTTATAGTGGGTAGGCTCCTCAAAGCCCAATGGGACCAAGAATCCATAAAGTATCAGGAAACAGAAGATCTCAGTGTTCATTCTAGCCCAACCACTCATCTGATGCTTAACATCCCCTCTTCAGCACTCTCATTAAATAGTGTTTTGGCTTGTACCTGAACACTTCCAGTGACCAGGAAGTCACTACTTACCATGACAACCAGGTAGCTTTCATTCTTAGCAATGCTAGTCTGTATATTGAGCTAAAATCTGTTTCCTTGTAGATTTCCCCATTTGGTGGATACCACCTCCCTGACACCTTTTGCCATACACTTAGCATTTTATAACCCTTCAAATACTTGCATTCATTGAACAAGCCATGCTCTTGCACATATACTGTTAGCAAACATAAGTTCTTCTACATGAAATGAACTTTAGCCTTCTCCAACTAAAGAATAATCCATTAAAGTCAACTTTGGTATTATCACCTGATAAGGGTAGGTTACGTGATAGGAAAAAGCAATCCCCAGATCTGGGCTTCAAACACCAAAAGATTATTTCTCACAAGACATGTTCACTAGGAGTCAGCAGGAAACTCTATGGTTACTGAGGGACCCAGGCTGACAGAGCAGAGCAGCCACCATCTTGAACTCTGCCAGTCACCTCCAGGGAGAGAAAGCTCTAGGGTGTCTCCCATCAGCAATGCTAATGCACCAGCCCAGAAAAGATACACACCACTTCCTCTCAAAATTCATCAGCCAGAACTAGTGCCCTGGCCTCACCTAACCAAGAGGGAGCTGGAAGATATAGTCCCCCTAGAAAGCCAGGTCAGAAATATTTGGCCATCGGCTCTGATGGCCACCCCACCCACTCTGCGTGCCCCTCCCTGCAACCCCCTGGCAGAGTTGCTGGCATCTTCTCCAGCCTTCTCAGAGCAGTTGATGTATTTGTTAGTCATGGTGATTATCACATTGCATTGTTGTCATATTTATTTGTGTTTTCATCTTCTCCATGACAATGAGAGTTTCTCAAGGATAGGTTAGAGCATAATAAACATTTGATATGTGGATACATTTGAGAACAGTGACCGTCTATCCAGTGTAAAAGCCAAAGAACTTAAGGAGTTTACAAGGCTGGGCATGACCTGGCCCCCACTACTTCTCTGACCTCATCTCCGCACAGGGCTCATTCATTTGGCCCCAGCCACACTGCATCTGAAACTCACCAGGCCGGCCCCCGCCTCACAGCCGCGAACTCACTGTTCCCTTACCATCTACTCAGCTCACCATCCCACTTCTGCCATGTCTCCTCTCAGCTGTCAGCTTATCAGAGAAGCCTGTCCCGACCATCCCTATACAATGTTGTTCTGCCCTGTTAACACCCCGCCCTCCATAGCAGTTACTTCTTGACACAAACACAAACTCATGTGTGTTGCATTCTCACATGTTAAATATTACATAATTTGTATAATACATTATATATGATATATATAATTATTTCTGGTATTTATTTATCTGCCCCAACCCACGTAGGCACACACACTTGAATGTAACTTCTATAAAGAAAAAGACCAGAATATAGTAGGGACTCAATAAATATCTGTCAGATGAATGGATGATAAATAAATAAATGTACCCCCAGTGTCTTCACATCTTTAGACCAAAATGCTGAACTTACCCCTCTCATATTACAGGATTTTGAGTCCCTTCATCATCCCAGGCATCTAGAAGTGACCAATGATCAGTGCAGTAAAGAGTAGAACAACATAGCCCTTTGTCTATCTTTTACCCTATATTTTAATTAACAAAGCCTATGTTTGAATAAGACTTTGGGGGTTACAAAAATCACACTGTTGACCTACTCATAGCAAGTTTAGTTACTGACTAAAATATTTGGTGTTTTCACACATAAAGCTGCACCTTCCCCTCTCTATGTAATTTTGTAGCTGTCAATTTGGACCTAAAAGTGGAGGACCTAACATTTTTCTCTCTTAATTTCCCTGTCACTTGTCTTCCTTTTCATTGATAATGTCATTTATTCATTCACTTGAGTGTCAACTATGTACAAAAAAGCTGTTAAGTGCTATGGGGTGTTATGTGATCATTTTGCAATTCCCAGAAGAATTATTCAGCAATATCCACATCAGTCAGATAAACAAACTTTGGTTCAATGAGGAAGACAGGTAAGACCCCTTCTGTGTGTAAATGACTGATAGCAGAGTCATACTTGGGAGACTTTCAACGACAGAATTGCAGAAGTGATACTCAAGAAGGTAATGCCTAGAGAATCTGAAAGTGGCAAGGCACACAGAGCCTTGGATAAGAGGGGCTTGGGTGGAGCTTACAGTTAGGAGAGCAATTTGATTCTGACATGTCACTCTACTTTTCCCCAAGGCTGATTTGCCTCCTTTGGAAGTCACCAACAGATCACCCTCTCCCACATTGCTCCAAGGATCTCACCCATCTTTGGCCAAGGCTATGTTAAGGATTGGGCTTTTCTGCTGTGCACTAGTGGATAACACATTTCATATGTTCCAGTTATTTCAGGGAAGTTCTTGACTAGGGGAGGAACCAGAACAATTATTCCACTTGTCGACCATATTTATTTATGTTAGTTAACGTCAGGTACTGGGTAAATATTATACAGATAATAATTTCATTAGCATTCCAAACTTGTAAGATAAGAACCATTATTATCTCCATTTTATAAGTAGGGAAACTGAGGCACAGAGAGGTTAAGGGAAACTGAGACACAGAGAGCTTAAGTAATCTTCCCACAGCTAGAAAATGAAAGTGCTGAGGCTTGAACCTTAACCGAGAATCTACCAGCTCCAGAGTCTATAGTCTCAACAGTTCTGCTCTGCTCCCTGTCTGTTTTGGAAGCAGGGACAGAATATAGTCCAGTATATAATGTAAGGGCAGAATAATAAGGCATGATTTTATACTAGGCACTAATACAGGTTACTCCTAATAAAATCAACCCTCAGGCATTGTTCAGAACTGAAATTGAACAGACCAGTATCTAACTTGAGGATAATGGAGAGGAATTAAATTAGTTGGAGAATGATTTAACCTTTTGCTCACTGGGCATTTTTTCATGAATTCATCTTTCCATCCTTCCAGGCATCCACTTATCCACTTATTCAATAACTATGCACTGAGCACTCTTGCCATCCTGGAGCGAAGGTCACACACTGCAGCTAGGACAGGGTCTGACTGACAAGGATCTAGCAGTCCAGGTGGGGAGAAACAGGCAAAAACCCAGAGTCTAGCACAGCAAACGCTGCAGAGGGGGCCCTGGAAGAGAGGGACATGAATTCAACCTGCATTTGGGAGAAGAGCTGAGGAGGTGGGAGGGAAATGATGAGAGAAGAATGCTCATGGAGGAAAGAACACCGAATCTGATCCTAGCAAAATTTTCTAATCGCAATATTCCTAGGAAGATCTTAGAAATTATACAATTTCCATGAAAGACAAGAGAAAATGGAACACTCTTTTCAAGAAAGGCCCAGGGACATAGTAACTAATTACACAGGTTTTGGAGTCAGTCAGACTTGCATTCAAATCTTAACCTCTCTTGGCAGAACTTCCTCCATTATAAAATGGGGCTAATTATAGTGTCCCATCATGAGGTTGTCCTGAGAGTCATGTAAGCTCATGCGTGAGGGGCACAGTGCAGTCTGTACCGAGTACAAATGCAATAAACTCTAGTTGTGACCTTCTCAGACTCATAGTCACACTCACTGCTCCTTTAGTCCTTAATCTTCTTTGTAGCTTTAACGTTTAGAACCAAGGTTTGTAAATCTCTTTTCTGTTTTGCATAGAGAATACAAAGGGAATATGGTTTCTGTAAAATTGATTTGCATCCCAGTGAATTTATTGTACTCTATGGTTCTTGGTGACTAGGTAACCAGCAGAGGAGCTAATTCATTATTTTAGCAATTTAAACAGGAACTTGGAAGAAAAGCACCTTGTGGTCACAGAGCATGGGGATGATACTAACAAGAAGATTAAAAGGAAGTTCAGCTCACACAGCCCTAGATCGTCACAAATGTGCCCAAGGATTATTAACAATCACAGTTACCTGGAACTATATTATTTGCCGGGTTGGTTATTGTGAAGACAACTTGCATGAATAGATGAGCTGAAAGGAACTCATGAAGTTATTCTGAAGTGGCTGGCAGAGTCCCTTTGTACTAAATATCTGAGGAAATACGAGAGAACACCCAAGGCTCCCTGGTCCCCTTCATCCAATTTCTCACCTGGAAGTGAAAAGAAACTCTGAGTTCTCCTTCGAGGAACAGCCCATCCACAGGGCCCCAGCCCCCAGCCTCATATTTCATCCAGGAACCACTTGCCCACCATGGGACCAGACCCATGTGTTCTAGACAAGCCTTTTGAGGAAACAAAACAGCCATATGCAGAAGCAGTGACCATTTTCAGAGATCCAGTCCTCTAGGGAATGAAGTCTTGGGACTTTATGACCTTGGCATCCACTATTCCTTCCTGACGCCCCCTCCTTGAAAATCTCTGGCTGCCTATTCCTGAGCTTTATAGGCTTGTGCAGAGCCATGGTGCCAAGGCATAGGTCTTAGAGGTTGTCTCTTTTCTTGGTTTCTCTTGCAGATTCGCACAACTCCCTGCTGTGTGCTGCAGGCTGGTCCTGAACCCAGAGCTCTGGCTGAGAGGATGGCGGCAGATGGGGAAACAGTGGTTCTGAAGAACATGCTCATTGGCGTCAACCTGATCCTTCTGGGCTCCATGCTCAAGCCTTCGGAGTGTCAGCTGGAGGTCACCACAGAAAGGGTGCAGAGACAGTCAATGGAGGACGAGGGAGGCATTGCCAACTATAACACATCCAGCAAAGAGCAGCCTGTGGTCTTCAACCACGTGTACAACATTAAAGTGCCCCTGGACAGCCTCTGCTCCTCAGGGCTGGAGGCCTCTGCTGAGCAGGAGGTGAGTGCAGAAGACGAGACTCTGGCAGAGTACACGGGCCAGACCTCAGACCACGAGAGCCAGGTCACCTTTACACACAGGATCAACCTCCCCAAAAAGGTTTGCCCATGTGCCAGTTCAGCCCAGGTGCTGCAGGAGCTGCTGAGCCGGATCGAGATGCTGGAGAGGGAGGTGTCGGTGCTGCGAGACCAGTGCAATGCCAACTGCTGCCAAGAGAGTGCTGCCACAGGTAGAGTCTGGGAGCTTGCAGCATGGTCTCAGGAGGGGAAGGAGAGGGCTGTGCAGAGAGGGAGAATGCACCAGAAGGAGCAATGCACTTCCAGCAAAAACGCACTCGAGCAAAACCCCAGCATCTCTTCACACGGTCAAAGGGAAAAAAGTGCCCTAGTCTGTAGCCGCCAGTTAATATGTCTCTAAGATCTAAATGCAGTTCTTCCCAAGGGATTCAGTTCAGGGATTCTCTACACTGCGTAGCCAGTTTGAAATACATTAACCTGATTTTGGGGGGATGAGTCAGGTAATGGTACATCGGTTCAGCACAGCAACTTCGATGGCCAGCAGGGAATTTGATGTCTGTCTTCATTCATCTTTGGTTTTCACAGGCTGTTGAATTGATATCTATCCATGTTAACCTGAGGGACTAGAGAACGCAGGCGCTCTGTTCACTCAATCGCAGCCTTTCTCCCATCTGAGTAGATGATAGTCATTAAGGTCTCAGAGGACCTGTCCCCATCTTTTCCCTGCCTCCTCAACGAGCACACAGAAGCGTATGCACACACACACACTCACACACACACATGCATGCACACACACATGCACATGCACATGCTCTCAAACACAACACGCACAGCTTAGTTCACCCTCCAAAAGGCTGAAATTTCAGGGGATTTACTTCTAACACTGCCCACCCCCTAATTAGCAATCCTTACAAGTTATTATCTTTACCTCTCTGTAAGACATAATTAAGTCTTCAGAATCAGAATTCCCAAGTTCAGATCCTGGCTTTCCTGCTTCCTAGCTGATGACCTAAGCAGTTACATATCTGCGCCTTCCTTTCCTCGTCTACAAATGGCTCTAAGCTAGAGCAACAAGAAGTTATTAACAATAAAAGCACCTATTCGGACGTCAGCCTGGCTTCTGTAAGTACCATATAAGCAATAGCTGTTATCAGCTGACCCCAGTGAGTGGGAATTGTGTCTGTACCCCTCTGTGTACAGCTTTTCTCTTCCAAAAGGTACCTTAGACCCCATGCAATTCAGCTCTTTGATGACAAGAGGCATTTGTCTTGAGTTCAAGCATGGGCCTTGAGGGTCCATGATCTCAAGGCTTTCATAGGATGAAAGCAGGAGGTGGCAGAGTGAAATTTTCACAAAGCCTGGATGACCCACAGCTGCAGATTCACATTCACATTCACATTCACATTCACACATTCACCCTGAGACACAGCAAGATAAGAGGCAGTCACTGAGGACTAGAATATTTCATGGGTTCTCTCACCTCCTTCTCTTCCCCATAACCAACACTATAAATAAACAATCTGAAGAACAGAAGAGCAAGTCCAGTCCTCCTGTGCTTCAGTGACTACTGCCAGGTCATTTGGTCTTTTTAATGGAGCAGGAGAATAGGGGAAAGTCCTAGGTTTCCATGGGCATGGACCCCAGCTTCCTATAAATGGACTTTTTACCAGCCTTTCACCAGGATTCCTAGCAAACATGGAAAAAAATCTGCAAGGAAGAGCTAAGTTAAGTAATGTCAGTAAAGTACATTTTCATGGGGGCAGCATGAAGCGGCAGAATTAAAAAAGGATGTAACTTACTAGACTTCATATCCTCAGGGCCAAGTGCAAAGAAGGATGCCAGCAGGTACTTCATTTGTATTTGTTTAATACGTTTACTTCAGTCACGCTAGGAGATAAATTAGCCACTGTAGTTATCCCACAGTAAGGGCTAGGACAGAGACATACATAGAATCCTAAAGGGGTCATAGCAAACAATAACTAAATGAGAGCAAGGTCCTGGAGCCTTTGAAGTAACCCTGGCGCTGGGTTTTGATGAATGAGCAGAGGGAGTCAGCTGGCAGGCAGGGAGGGGGTGGGACAGGTTTGTAACACATAAGACCTTTCTCCGAACAGTGGACTCAGTGCTCAACCTACAGCCCCTCAGGTCCCTCACAGTCCCCATAGCCAACACCTGGAAGTCCTTGTCAGAGGGCTGTCCTCAGTTTGTTGGAAAGTTCTTGGACTGTCCAAAGAGAGAATGAGGGGCTGGGGGATTCGCATGCCCTCAAGGACAGACCTTAACCCACAATGAGATGCGACCTGCACTGCCCAGAGCACCCTGCAGGACTGAACCCAAGTGATTCTCTTGGGACTTGACTTCATAATGCACCCAGGCTTGAGCGTGTTCCCTTCCCGATTTACCATTCTTCCCTATCAGATTTTCCTGGGAACACCTTCCAACAAATCACTTTTACATGAATCTTTATTGAAGATCTGCTTCTAGGGAACCCACCCTAAGACACCTTGAAGGTGAGCTCCTGGAGGACAAGGGACCAGCTCTCATTCACCTTTGCCCCAGCCCTGTGCTAGGCATAGAAAGCCCATATTAGGTGAAAATATTTATTAAATTGAATATATATGAAACTATGTTGAGCTTCACTCTCAGCAACAGAAATCTGGTCAGAGAATGAGTAGAGGTCTTTGCCCATCCTTCCCCAGCACCACTGACAGGAGAGGCCACTGCTGCTCTTTGACCTTCTCCTTGACCATTCCAGGACAACTGGACTATATCCCTCACTGCAGTGGCCACGGCAACTTTAGCTTTGAGTCCTGTGGCTGCATCTGCAACGAAGGCTGGTTTGGCAAGAACTGCTCGGAGCCCTACTGCCCGCTGGGTTGCTCCAGCCGGGGGGTGTGTGTGGATGGCCAGTGCATCTGTGACAGCGAGTACAGCGGGGATGACTGCTCTGAACTGCGGTGCCCGACAGACTGCAGCTCCCGGGGGCTCTGCGTGGACGGGGAATGTGTCTGTGAAGAGCCCTACACTGGCGAGGACTGCAGGGAACTGAGGTGCCCCGGGGACTGTTCGGGGAAGGGCAGATGTGCCAACGGTACCTGTTTATGCGAGGAGGGCTACGTTGGTGAGGACTGCAGCCAGCGGCAGTGTCTGAATGCCTGCAGTGGGCGAGGACACTGTGAGGAGGGGCTCTGCATCTGTGAAGAGGGCTACCAGGGCCCTGACTGCTCAGCAGGTAGGCAGGGGAACTCTCTGGGGTGTTGGCAAGGGTGGTCCAGCAAACTAGCTGGATACCTCCAGTTAGCTGGGGAAGAAAGATGAGTGAGCAGGTGAATTTTAGGCAAAATAATTCCCAATTGGGCTGGACTCATTTGCTTTCCAAGAGAGCTGATTTCTTGAGTCAATAACAGTTGATGAGGCAGTTTAAAGGGGATAAAGAGTGGAAATAGCAAAAGGTCCAGTTCAGGCTGAGAGCTGGATTGTTCCCCCTGAGACTAGGCAACGGTAACTTGACGTGGGGGAGGGTAGACAGTGAGGTCATGGGACCACCTTAGCCAAGGCCGTTCTCTAACTCTGAGGGATCCCAAGTATTCCACCCACTCAAAATTATCTCCTTTTCCAGTTGCCATATTCCATGAATGCCTTCCACAATGCTACTGCAAAAGATGGTGGTTAGTCTGTAAGGCTCTCTGATTATCTTGGAGCTTACAGATTGCAAGGTGTTATTAATTTATGAAATGATTCTAGTGGGGAGAGTATTTGTAGACAAGGGCTTAAAAGTAAACAGGAATAAAGTACTAAGGACATTGGACAACAACTAACATTCTAACAATTAGTACAGGATATTAAATGAATATGACTCACTTTGTTCCAGATGACTATCTAGCAAATTAGAACCAACCCTGTATATGTACAGTCTTCACTGTCAAAGCTAATAGAAAGCTGATGTCCTAAAATGGGGATCTAAGCCCAACAGTGAGAAAAAATCAGTATCTCATTGGGGCTGATTGTCCTTTTGATGTAAATCAGATTGTTTATATTATTTCACAATAGCTCATCCTCTTCTGACTAAATCAGTTTTAAACAGTACAGATTAAGTGGTTGATCCTTTCAGAGGGCCCACTGGGATGATGTAAAATAAAAAAATAACAACAAACAAACATTTTAAACCCTCTACTGGAGCAATTTTAGGAATTTTCTAATCAGTCATGTGACATCAGTGGAAGAGGAAACCTGGTAAGCCAGGTTCTCCAGCCTCCTGTGTGCCAGGGTTACCCCCTCCTACATGGCAGACACTTCCCTGCCCATGTAACTTCAACTTAAATTATTTTCAAAATAGATGGTAATAATGAAAAGCAAAACAAACACAATGCACTGCTTAGGAAAAAATCTAATGTTCCTTAACTTTTTCCATATCCAATTATTTCATTTAGCCTCCCAATTTTGTTTACTGAATTGAAATATCTTTCTAAAAATATAGTCACCACACCAATTATCCCAAAGTGAAATTCAAGCAGAAGTTAGGCCTTATTTTTTCCGAATCCAAAGTCACCAGGCACCTTCTGGGAAGCCAGGCTGAAACATGGCCCCAGTTCCCATCCAGAGGATCAGGCTCCATGATGCCCCATCTGGAGGATGCCCAGAGTCAGTTTGGCCATCTCTGTGTTAATGCTATTCTGTAGCCCACATGCTTCTTAGTACACTTAATCTTTGGTGGTCTGAACATACCTGTCATATTCTTGACCCTACCTTTCTACAAGGATGGGTTCATTTGCAAACAAAATCTTCATCTAATCCAGGACTTACACTGAACCGGTGATAAACCCTCCTGGCTACCTCGGGGAAGACACAGCAGCTGCTAGCACAGCTACAACTGGGTTAAGTCCAAGCTATGAGCACATTACCTCTGACATGTTACCTCTGTGCTGCTTGAGCAACACTTCAATAGGCCCAGATAAATTACTTTACAGGTTCCCAAAACATGTGAAGAAGGACAGTTGCATAATCTCCATCTGTTCCTATAGCAACCCAAGAGCCACCACTCATGGGCAGGAGGTCTGCTCTTAAGGCCTGTTTTTAAAACCAAGTGCTACAGGTCTCTTCCAGAGAAGTATCTAGGTCATTATCTAAAGTGCTAGTTTGCCTGCTCTTTGTGAAAAGGCTGTAGGAGAAGGGGCTATTTATCCACTGTTTGACGTTCCTGGCCAGGCGCACACACCACAGCACTATATTCCCATTGCCCACAGGAATGAGGAGAGGAGAGAGAAGGGTTAGGAAGGTGAAAACACTGAGAGCCACAAAATATATTTCCTTACGAGGCGTTCTTTTCTCTTTGGCAAGGGCACAGAAAATAGCTGCCCACTGTGTGGATTTCATTCTGAGGCCCCCTAGGTCTGCGGCGCTTGAGCACAATTGGATAGTGTTGGCAAGGTCATACGATAGTGTTGGCTAGGTCAATACATCCTAGCCTTGATCTATGCTCATAGCGTGCCATGGGGCAAAATCTCAAGACTTCTGCCTCCATTCTCTGCCCACGTAGAGATAATAGAACAAAACATTCATGAATATGAGAACTTAAAACAGGCCTTAGAAAGAAGCTTCTCACTTTACAGATTTAAAAAGCAGCAGTCAGTGAGACAGATTTTCCCAGAGCCAGACAGCTAATTAATGGCAGAATAAGAAAAAGAATCCTGGTCTCCTACCAGCTTCTAGCACTCTTTTATCTTCTCTGGAATGCAAAGTAGAATAGAATTGAAAAATAAAAATTTTAAAGCCACATACACAAAGAAGTAGCCTTTTGATATGAAAGCTGAGCCCCCATCACATGATTTTTAAAAATGGGGTGTCAGAGGTAGTAGGGTGGAAAAGCACATTCAACCGTTTGTCCACATCTGCCCCCACTGATGGTGGTTATTGCGGGGGCTGGCCAGAGAGCTGGCCAAAACTCCCCTGGAGCCAGCAGGATAAAAGAACCATGAGAGCAGGGTCTTGAGACAATCCAGAAAGCTGTTCCCTGGACTTCAGTCAGACCCATGGAGATTCATCAGTGTCAACCTTTGCTCTGTCACACTGCAGCCAGCCCAAACTTTGGCACCTGAAACTACTTGTTCTTTGGAGTAAGACACATCATGGAACTAATTCCAACTGCTCTCACCACATAAGTGCAACATTTATGCAAGATCTAAAAAGGAAACAGCATGGCATCTTTGCAGATAAGCAACCCTGATTCCCCAAGCCACAGTTTATTTCTCTTTAACAGCCTGCCCTTCCAAAAGTTGACACCTCAAAGAAAGTAAGGCTAAGAATACTTTGCACCCACCATAAATTCACTGAATTAAGGCATGAAGCTCTTTGACAGTTTACAGTATCATTCTATAGAATTTTCTTTTATAAGGATTACTGACGCCTAGTATACATACCTGCTGCTAAGTTATAGTGCAAGTGGTGGTGGTCTCCTCCATCGAGCCACCACTGTCAAGACCACTTCCACCACGAATGACACCAGTTGCTGCTTTCTCAGTCAGAAGTCAAGGCAATGTTTACCACCAGGCTCAGGCCTCAAGCTAAGTTGCCAAGATTAAAAAAAATCCTTCTGCACCTCTTTTTTTGCTTTAAAATCCCAAAATGCTCTCCTTAGATCACTCTCTATTGTCAGTATTAGCTTTGAAGAAGGAAGTAAAAAGGAATACCCTGACTTGTTCCAAAAGAATTGTTGGTGACTTGAAATTTGGAGTGGCCATTTCTGCCACTAAGATGAAAGTCCTGCATAGGAATGTGAGTTCAATCACAGAGACAGGCACTAAAGAACCTGTTTAAAAAGAGTTTTCTTACCTCTACAATGAGCACGGGTCTAGAGATCACATCTATTAAGATCATCTGAATTACTCCTAAGATAGTTTACTTTGGGAGGCCATGTATAAATGAAAGAAGGCATCTGGTGCAATCTGTAACCTGCTGTCTAAATTGTAGGGGAAAGAATGAGAAATGTAGAAGATCTGGGTTTCCGAGTCAGTTCTGCTGTGACCCAACTCTCTGACTTTTGGCACATCCCTGAACCTGGGATTCGGTTTCCTCATTTGTAAATCTGGGACAATTATATCTACATGAACTACTTCATAGGGCTGCTATTAAATATTTTTTAAGATTCTACTTAGATGCTATATCTGAAAATAGTTTATAGGCTATGAAATGCTATGTAAACATAAAGTGGTATTGTATATCGACTAAGAAGTTTTATGGTCATTCTGCCTGCATTCAATTTCTAGCTTCTACGTTTGCTGACTGTGTGGCTCAATTTTGTCATCTGTGAAATAGAAGTAATAATGATACCCTAATCCCATAGTGTTGGTAAGAGGATGAAATGAAATAATCTATGTAAAAGTGGTTAGCATTGTACCTGGTGCATAAAAAATGCTCAGTATAATCATGCAAAATCCTGACAGGTTCTAAATATCAACTCTTCTTCTGATGGCCCAGGAGTCATTTTGCATGTGTTATATAGGCTGTCCCAAAGGTCTTAGTGAAATTCAAAAGTTTAATAAGGTCAGAACTATAGGTGATCCAGTTTATAAAGCATCATTTGAAGGTTTAAATTTCATTTACACTTCTTTAGCTTTATAAACTTTAAATAAACATTTTTAAAATTTTTGGTTTGGTCAACATTTGCCATCCTCAAGGAAGCTCTGCTTTCTAGACTGTTTTATTCAATTAATGGTTTTGGGCAGAAGTAATTGAAGCAAATGTCCAACAGTGCATATATATGCTGCTGATTCTATCCTGTGAATCTGGATCTGTTAAAGGGCTCCTGGTGTCTGCATTTGCTGAGGTTTTGAGGGTGCATATGTGAGTACAATGAGGAGACAGCACTCTCCACTCACATGGTCCTGCAAAACACAGCTGGTCACAGATTATCTGCTTGTTAAGGTGAAGGGTGAGATTAAGGGGAGAAATTCAAAACCTATGACAACTCTTCAACTAATCGAATCCTCCACTACATATACATTTATAAGTTAATAACAACCATTTAAATATTGGCCTGATCTTTGATTTAATCTATGGGCAGGTCTAATTACAGACACACTGGAGGTAGCCTCCTAGTTTCTTAAAGGCTTAATTATTTAATGGCCACAACACTGGTGAATCTTCATTTTCCAAGACAATGATACACAAAAGGTTATACCAATGTGTTTTAACCTTTGGTGACTCCAAGCAGCATTTGAGAAATCAGACAAGAAAGAAAAGCAAAGTCCTCAAGAATGTTTCTTTATCATCATCTCCAAGATCGCGGCCAATAAAAATTAGTTTAACACAAGCTAGATTTCTTTCAGAGCATAAGTGGTCTTCTTTTAAAAGGGAAAATTCTAAAATAATGGGATGTTGAGTGTCTTCCTCAAGCCATGGTATCCAGGACTTACTGTTTTGGCTTCTCATAATTTGCAAGATAATCAGAAAATAGTTTTTATTTCCACTTGCCGAGTCAGATATTGGCTCCCAGGGTAATCTGATGACAATAACTTATTAAACCACCAAAAATTTTGGCCAGTGGTGTGCTGTTAAATATCTAACAACCTCGCTCTCTAAAGGAAAAAATTTTAAAAGCCCTGTTGTGCAGCATTTGCCAGTTTCCATGATGTAAATACTATCTCCATGGCCAATTTCAATTACCAACATGACGTCACTAAATATGGAGCTGGAAACAGATGTGTAGTAAAGTACAATCAGAATATTTCCACCAGACAGATAGAGCACACATAAATCATCTTAAAGGTATAGATAATATTAAAATGTAGTCAAATGATTTGAAAGTGATAAATTTTGAGTATCTATTACCTTTGTTTTTAATGTAATTTACTTAATTGTTAGATCCTAAAATTGAATCTTTAATAATGGCTGTATTCAACAACAGTCTTGAAATGGTCCTGAAAATTTAAAAATCAGCTTTTGCAAGCCAGTAGCAGCTGGCTCCAGTGCACGACTAGTTTATGATCTTATGGAAATTGGGGTACTAAGCACCAAAAAGACAAGAGCCTGCTCAAAAAAAAAGTTACAAATCACTTACAGCCATTGAGCCCAGCAGAACATATAGACATGGCATGGGGGTGAGATGTGAGGAAGAAAGTTGAGTCCAGGATGGGGAAGGCAATCCTCTGAGCTCATGCTATCTGTGTATTGCCTCCCGGTAGTTGCCCCTCCAGAGGACTTGCGAGTGGCTGGTATCAGCGACAGGTCCATTGAGCTGGAATGGGACGGGCCGATGGCAGTGACGGAATATGTGATCTCTTACCAGCCGACGGCCCTGGGGGGCCTCCAGCTCCAGCAGCGGGTGCCTGGAGATTGGAGTGGTGTCACCATCACGGAGCTGGAGCCAGGTCTCACCTACAACATCAGCGTCTACGCTGTCATTAGCAACATCCTCAGCCTTCCCATCACTGCCAAGGTGGCCACCCGTACGTACCATTTCCCCGTCCTGCTTCATTTTTCTTTTCTCCTACATGAGATCATGGGCATTCATGATAGTAGCGTCTTTTCTTAATTCTTCAGGGATGCCTGGAATAGTCATTGCCCTTGAGGGGAAGGGCTACAGATGTGACCCATTTAGAAAGGGTACATCATTAGAAAGGCACTTCTGAATAAGAGAGTTTCCAAATTCAGGCAGCTTTTATAAATTATAGAACCAAAAGTACAAAAAGTACTTTAATTATTGAGTATTGACTTGTTATAAGCTAGACTCTGATTAGAAGGAAAGTATCAGACATCTACAGACATTGAATCTAGTTAGGGATGCAGAACAAGGAGATATGAAATAGAAGCAAGTGCCAAAATGGTATGTTCTCGACCAAGTGTACAGCAAAGCGAGAAAAAAATCTTATTTAAAACCACAGCTGATAACATCCCGTTCTCCTGATAGAGAAGTGGCATAATTTCCTCCAGATCTTTTATTTAGTGAAATATCTTAATAGTTCATTTTAGTTATAAAAGTTGAAGCCCTAAGCATAGTTTAGAAGGATTCACAGGGGAGAGAGAGAGAGAGATGGAGACAGAAAACAAGCTAAACTTCTCTCCATAAGAAATGAACAGCTTTTAAATACATAACAGGAAACTTCTGTGGGTATGTATCTATATTTTGTATATTTTAAAGCATAGAGAAATATAAAAGATTACATACCAGTTATTAACACTGTATCAAAGAGTAGAATAAGAGAGAAAATTATCATATTTTTCCTTACACCCCTCTGAATTCTTAAATTGATAAAATAAGCCTGTTTTATGATTTCAAGAGCCAGGCAGAGGAATTTAGGCAAGAGAAGTTCTCATTACCCCAAGTCTACTGCAAAACCTGCATGAACACAAATGCCTGTATGCCTTATGTGGAAAGTCTTCGGAGAGATCAAGAAAAAGGGCTGTATCTGATTAAATTCTGGGAAGAGAGAAAAGAACATTCAGAGGAGACGAGGTATGAGTGATACAGAGATTTCTGGCAATAACAAGAAATAGAACAAGAAGTAAACATGAAAACAAAAGCCTTCTAGAATTCAGAAAGCCCCTGGGCCAGGAATTGGGACTTACGACCAGATAAGGGGTAAGAGATTTGAGCCCATTTTGTGTAGGTAAGATGGTATTTGGGTAACAAATGCCATGAAAGTTCAGAAACAGAAAAAGTCAAGGTAGAAAAAGCCCTGAAATCTTCGTGGAAGCTCCAGCACTAAATTGCACTTTGAAGAATGCAAGGACAGAGACAGGCAGAGGGGAAGGAATTTAAGAAGTCATCTTGTCCCCTTGTTTTTCAGGTGACAGACATTCTGTTATAATTTTGGACTCCGCTATGAGATGAGTAGTGCTGAATCCGTTAATATGCCTATAATTATCTCTGCTTACATTTAACTTTTTTTTGTATTGATTTTTATTTTTTTGAGACAGAGCCTCTGTCACCCAGGCTGGAGTGCAGTAGCGTAATCTTGGCTCACTGCAACCTCTGCCTTCTGGGTTCACGTGATTCTCCTGCCTCAGCCTCCCAAGTAGCTGGGACTACAGGCACCTGCCACCACGCCCAGCTAATATTTTGTATTTTTAGTAGAGATGGGGTTTCACTGTATTAGCCAAGATGATCTTGATCTCCCAACCTCGTGATCTGCCTGCCTCAGCCTCCCAAAGTGCTGGGATTACAGGTGTGAGCTATATTGGACCTTTTTAAGAAAGAATTCCTCTGGTGCCTAAGAACTGGTCTTAAATGTCTGCAATGATTGTGCAGAGAGGCAGGTCACCATCTGCTGCTTTCCCCACCTTGCTCTGGGATGAGTCACTGCCCTAAGTGCCTGGCGTGACTCCCAAGCATCTCCTCTCTGATCCACATGCACGCGCAGTGATGAGGTTTCCATCTCTTGTGGCATTTATTATGCCAATTCAGGGCATCCCCTCAGGCACACTCCCAGGTGACAAGGACAAAATCATGTAAACCACCTGACACACCTTCAGTGCGTTCACAGTCAATCCTGCTTTCCAACCAAAAAGCATGAGAATGCTTCCAAACAGGAAGGATGAGAAAATCTGTCCTTTTTCCAATGGGAATAGCCCATGAGAGGCAAAGCTAAAATGGGAGCAGGCTTCCTGGAGAACTGAGAAAAGTCATGCTGTCATATTTCAGGGCTGATAACTGGAACTCCATTAGGACAAGCGCACTTCCATCTCACAAAACCTACGCATGTGTATGTGTCTGTGTGGTTGGGGGAGAAGGGGTGGTGGAAGGAAAAGAGGGAAATACATGAAATGAAAAATTTAGACCATCCTAGACTTAGCAATTTGAGCTAAACAAAATACTCTCAATGTACATCAGACAATCAAGGAAATCACTGTAGCATTAATCCTGAAATTGGTTTGCTCCGATTGGTGCCTCCCTTTTCCTGTATGCACAATGAGCACACTGATAGAAGCCATCATAGTGCCTCCCAGGAATCCTGTAAAGCTTCTAAAGATACTGCCCAAGTCCTCTGAAAAAGGCACTATATTACACATGAAATGCCAAGATCTACCACATTAGTAAGATAAGGAAAGTGATTTCTGCATTTTAAGAGTAAGCTAGTAATGTAATAAAAAGCATTAACATTGTTTATATAGATTGTGTTTAAGTTAACCCACATATTCTATCAACACCGAGCACTAGGGCCATAATGGAGCAGGCTGATCCTGCACCTGGGACTCACTGTGTCTGGAGTAAGATTGGGATTGTCCACCAGACACCACCACACCCATGGCGTGGAGGGCGTCCATCAAGACAAAGCACCAGGCAATGCTCTCTGTCCCAAGGGTTAGCCATGACATTGTCACCTGCATTGCTGTGTTTCAGATCTCTCCACTCCTCAAGGGCTACAATTTAAGACAATCACAGAGACCACCGTGGAGGTGCAGTGGGAGCCCTTCTCATTTTCCTTCGATGGGTGGGAAATCAGCTTCATTCCAAAGGTAACACTCACCTGTTAGACTGCCAAACAGACTTATTTGAAGTTTTTGTACCTCTAGCTTGGAATCAGGGGCAGCAAGGAAAGCACTACCCAATATCTCTCTCCATGCCATTAAAGACACAAAACGGCATGTTGTGGGTGTCTGGAATACAGAACATTTCTGTGACAAATACGTGGGAAGGACCCACTGACAAGAGTAACCCTGAGAATGGCACCCTGACCTTGCAGAATAGAGGATGCAGGAAGCAGCCACCAGCTCCAGCTCTCTGCTGAGATAACTTTGGGGTCTGTTGAGCCATGGTTTTAGTAAGTATGAAAATCAGACCCTCAAAAAATTGGGGCTTCTCTTTAGGACATAAGAAGAGCCAAACTGAATCAGTCACATAATCAGCCAAAAGCTTCGTTCTGTGCAGAGAGATGCACCAAAGAAAAGTCAGCTTCCATGGCATCAATCTCTAAAGGTTACAGGCATAACACGAAAACACCTTGGCTCTCCTGGACTATTCATAATAAAGTTGTAACCTCTTAATTTAGCAACATTTTTTATAAATTATATTATTAGCCTATGACTTTTAAAGTATCCTAAGATTCCTTTCTACTCTTTAAAGCAGTATTTTATTTATTTTCTTAATTGTGAAACTAACTTTTCCAAATTGCCAGAGGTGCATGCCTGGCTCTAGATTTCCAGAATTTGTTGACCCTACGAATGTCCTCTCTAAGTATACCACTCATGAGGATATAAAGTTCAATCATACTCCTTCCCTCTGTCTTTATTCTTCAATGTCGAAGAGCATTTTTTCAGCCATTCAACAGACTTAATGACAGATGACACGTTTTTGGCTAGGAAGACTATGATTTCACCATCCTTTTACTTCAAAATTCTTAGAGCCATGAACTGTTGGAGTTACAAAAGACCTTCAAGTTCACAGGGTACGACCCCTCATTTTACCTCTAGTTTACTTTAGTTTATAGAGTCTACAATTCAGAAAACTTGAAGGACATCATACAGCTAGTTGGGTGACAGGCTTAAAATGAGTACCTGGGTCTCCACCTCCTATCCTGGGGCTCTGTTCACTAAACCTGGATGCTCCATTCTCTTATGTGGATACAGTCGTACCACAGTCACATCACAGCAAGGTAAATATGTCTACACAGACATCTATACAAATATGTCTTATCTGAGTTACAGTGATAAATAAAGTACAGCAGGAAACTGAGTTATGTAACAATTGAAACAATCATGCCACCTTGTTGCTCAGAAGAAAAAATTATGCCAGGCTCTCCTGTTACATATATCCAATATGCAAAACTAACTCTAATTAAAAGAGAGCCTGACCAGGGAATGCCAAGGCCAAATGCATGGCCACGTGGTTTAATAACTGTTGTGACTTGTAGGTTGAGACCACTGGCGGGCATTTGTCACACTGATTTATGAGAGTATGGCTATAAATTATACATAAAACACCCTGAGTACCATAAATAGAGGCCACAGAATAGGGGAGAATGGCAGGGCCCCCCAAAAAGGCTCTCTTGTTTCTTCCATTTCTAAGGACATAGAAAGTATATGGAGAGAAAAAGAGAGAGGGAAAGATAAGATAGAAAGATAGATAATAAATTCTGGATCAAATCTTACTCTTTCTCATTTCCTCTTCTACCAAATTGCCTCCTCCTTCTCTTTGTGTTATCTTTTTCTAAGCTTCCTTTTTCCTTTCTTTGTACTTCATATTTGGTTGTGTCATAGAGTCCTAATTTATAGTGAAGAGGAAACAAGACATTGACAGATTCACACTGAATGTAACATCATAAGAAACTCCAGATATAGCAAAATATTAGCTCTGGTTTATAAACAATTATCTAGGAATGTCTTAGTTTGAAATGTGTTGTGTGTGTATATAAAGATGTTTACACACAAACACACATGACTATCCTCTTCTAAATAGCCGAGGGCATGGTCATTACAGTAAATGCCAAAAAGCTCTGATGAATGTTAACTATAACCATCCAACATTTGATCTTTGGCAAGAGCCAATCTGCACCACCTCAGGACTAATTTTTATTGGCAAATTCAGCAAACTCAGGAGAGGCCAAAGAAATGTTCTTAAGAATTGATTCTCCATTTGCCAAATCCTCATAGAGTGGTATCATTCTTATGGAGTCTATGGGGAGTTTTTTCTGGCCCCAGACACTCAGCTGTCAGCAAGGAGGAAATAGAAATAGCCCCATTTTAAATTCACAACCCACAGTTAGTGTTCCATACCTTTATCTTTCTCTCATCAGATTTCTCTCCCAGTGACTTTTCTCCTTTGCTTTCTCTGCTTCTCCCCACTGTCCAGAACAATGAAGGAGGAGTGATTGCTCAGGTCCCCAGTGATGTTACATCCTTTAACCAGACAGGGCTGAAGCCTGGGGAGGAATACATTGTCAATGTGGTAGCTCTGAAAGAACAGGCCCGGAGCCCCCCTACCTCGGCCAGCGTCTCCACAGGTGAGTGCCTCCAACCCTTCTCCCTATAGCTACCTACTAGGTCACTCAGGGAAAAGAACCCACAGGAGTGGAGAGACAAAAGAGGTGCAGAATTCCTCCCAGAGCTGGGACAATTCTGGTACCTGCGATGGAGTTACTCTACCAGATCCTTAGCTTATCATCTTCCTTATTACTCATCCTTACAAGCACTGACATCTGGGAGAGTGCTCCATGGAGACAATTCTTTTGTAATATTTCCATTGTATTCCTTCTGATCTTATTAAGAGCCCCATTTGTCAGCCCCTGGTGTCATGAGCTTTGGAAGCAGCAAGAGCTGACCCACGCTTACCTATGATGATATTTGGAGAAAGTCATCTGAACCTTCCCAAACCTCAATTTATTTTACCAGATAAGCAAGAATAATTTATGATAAACAAGAATACCTCCTTCATTAAGTTAATATGAGGATGGAATTAGATAAAGCACACACAGCGATCAGCTCTGTGCCGATGACAGTGAGTGCTCAATACTTGGTATACACACATATACTCAGAGAACATACTCAGAAGCAAAAGTGGTAGGAAACGAGTCATTCAGAAATCAGTAGGTATGGGTTGGGTCATTGTTCAAGGTGATGGCTTAAGTCTATTATAATTTCATCCCCACAGTTCACCTCATTCAAGATCATTATACTTCCAGGATTGATTCATTAATTGTCATATTTTGCCTTATTGTTTCCTTAGCTAACAAAGGATGTTCAATTTCAATGCTGTAAATGAGCTATTGTGATGTATAAATGTGTGTCCTCACCAAGAATATCTCCAAAGTTATAAGCAGCATCTGGCATAATTTTTTGTTCTCATTTTATTGTTGATGGAGCTGAAACTCAGAGGCTAAGCAACTTGCCCTGTCAATAACAGAAACTGAGATAGGTGACTATTGGTACAGCTTTATGTGTTTTTCATAAACAGAAATTGACATATTAGAAAGCCAGTTTTAAGTCCAGGACAAAAGGCCAAGGTGGCCAGAAATGGAAACCACAATGCAATGTAATGAGACCACGTTTATAGATTAGTGATTCATCCTCTGCTACTGAATCCAAACAAACAGCATCAGGTGCTGAGGCTTAAGCTCAGTTTAGCAAACGTTGGTTCGGAACAACTGTGGCAGTAGCTTGTGTTCCATCCATGCACCAGGGTTCTATGGCAGTACCTGGAGAACAGGATCCAGCAGGGAGCCAGACCTCTAATTCCTCCCTCTTCCATCCCTCCAACCAGGGCGGCTCTACTTTGATCTGTTTTATATTTTGTACATCCATTTAAGATTTTGTCCTTTTAAAAAAAAAGTTTACCACCCAGAAAGCTTTCAAACCATTGTTCTGATCCAAATAGTATGCTTTAGAAGAAACCCCATAACCTGTAGGAATCCCTCCAGAAGGCCAGTGGCTGGGGTTTTTCCACAGCTCTGTGCCCCAAGGTTATGCTAGAACATGAAGAGTTGACATTTGATGATGTGGAGCAGAAAGGTGTGATGTCCTTGCTCACCCATCATACAAGCATCACAACAACACTTCTATCACAAAACACAGGTTAACAAGAGAAAGCATTACTTACTTACTTACTTACTTATTTCGAGACGAAGTCTTGCTCTGGCGCCCAGGCTGGAGTGCAGTGGCATGATCTCAGCTCACTGCAACCTCTACCTCCTGGGTTCAAGCTATTCTCCTGCCTCAGCCTCCTGAGTAGCTGAGATTATAGGCACATACCACTATGCCCAGCTAAGTTTTTGTAATTTATTGAATCAAAGATTCATGTGACTCAGGAGCCTTCAGAAATGAAGATCCAAAGACCTGGGGGAAACTGTCTGTTTTTATGCTTAGGTTGTAGGAAGAATGGACAGCCATGTAGAAATGTAATCCGACAAACAGCTATAAGCTAATGGTAATAGTCCAAGGGAGAGACCCAGCAAGGCCTGTCTGCTCAGATTCTTCTTGGCCTCTCTGTGAAGCATTCCTTCTCTGCCTCCTCTATGGGGCAGGACCCTACTGGAATGAGGGTCCTCAAGGAAGAAGGGAGGAGGGAGAAAGTGACCTTTCTAGGTTTTATGACTTGCTTTGGGGAAGAGGAGTTCTAGTTCCTATTACCCGCCTTGAGGAAGCAGAATTCCGGTTTCTGTAAATCACCTCAAAGGCAGAAGGAGGGTCAGGGGATGGGAGGACTGACCTTGCTTCCGGGGCTGTTTCTGAGGCTCTTTCAATCCCCTTTAATTCAAAGTACTTAGCACACCAAGGTGCCAAACTTTGGGGTGTCCTGTGATGAGCCCAAGAATAGCATGTGCAGCTTCTCCTCTTCTGATATGAAATGTTTCAGGGTGCCCAAGCTACTCCTGTAATTTGATATTAAGAAAATATTAGTAAAAGACAAAAGGCTAAGAGGAGAAGATGGTTCATAAGAGGATAGAAAATACTGCAGTTGAGGAATGTTTTTCTCCTTGAATATTGAGAGAACGTAGAGAAGGTAGTCCAACCTTGCCTTAGTCTTACAGTCAAACCACATTCTTAACATTTGCAGTATTTTTTGGTTTGGCAGTTCCTTAAGATTAAAATTAAAATTCCAGATCTAAAAATTTGTGGTAAAGCTAGGCAGAATTATTTTCGTTTAAGAAAATATGTCCTTAATACTTTGGCTTCATCTACAGAGTCATGAAGAAATGGAAAAACATTTATTCCAGTTTACTTTTTTGAGCAGGGCTTGTGCTTGTTTAGAAATTAGGAGCAAAGCTGAGAGCAAGTTGATCCCTCCTTGACTGGAATGGAACATTGCTACCAAGTGGCCTACCAAAGGGCAGAATCCGAGAGTGGCTGCAACAAAGATGGTTGGCTCCCAATTCTGTGTGCTGTTTTTAGGAAACGATTGTTTAATTATTTCCTTCTGCTAAGGTCAGACCTACACCAACCCCCTACTGTGAAGCTCTGTGTCCTCATCAGGCACCCAGGCTGCCTTCTTCTAGGCAGGCCATTTTGTGAATGCAAATTACAAGACCTCCTGCAGCTAAAGACCGCTGTGCTACATAATCACATTCTAATATGTTCAATCCATTATGATTAGGGTTTTCTGGCTTTAAAGAGTTGAAGGACAAACGCCTTCTGTGGTCAGGTGCGTTTCCCTGACACCTTTTTTTTTTTTTTCCTAAAAAACCCCAGTTTATTGAAATGCTTCCCCTTTCTCATGGATAAAGAGGATCATTCATTCATTCCATTTACTCAGCATTCATTTACTGAGTGTCTACTATGTTTCAGGTATCATGCTTACATGGCAGGCAGCTAGGAGGCCACTTCCCCCATTTCATAATTAAGTTAAAATAAATGTGAAAGGCCTAAGTTATCTAAAACCACCAAGTGTAGCATGCTGAAAAGAAACTGGATATGTTCTGTTAAATCACATTAGTACCTCAAATATGAAAATCAGGACTTCATTTTAACTCCAAACCAGGTGGCACCCAAGTGGTCTGGTTATTTTCATTTTAGCTGGTGCTGGACCAAGAGTCCTAAGCAGCTTAAGAGAAGACAGGACTAGGCTAAGACCCAGAAAGAGGGAAGGGTGCCCAGAAAGGCTCAACCTTGAAAAACTGAGAGACTCAAAGTCCGCTTAAGACAGTCCTGAGGGAGAAACTTCATTCTGGAAACAGAGCAGGTGGTGGACCAGTGTCGACCATTTAGAAACAAGTCTTAGTCCAAACTCTCTAGTAACAAGGAAGAGATACTTACTTAAACTAGCTAAAGCAAAATAGAGAATTTATTGGAAGGACATAGAGTATCTCATGGGAACCCCAGGGCCAGAAATGCATCTGGGCCTCATAAAAGACTTGCACCAGAAAATGGAGCATCAGCAATCAAGTTATTCCATATATGTTTCCAGAAGCTCTGCATGGTCACTCGCTTCTCTCTCTCTTTCTCTTTCTCTCTCTCCCTTTCTCCCAGTTTTCCCTTTTCTCCAGATCAAATGTTTTCTATATCAGTATTAGAATGGTAGAGAATGGCCGCACCAGCTCTGGCTCTGCATGGTTCAGCACAGGCTAATTAGAGAACCAGAGTTCTGGTTTTAGTTCCAAGTCCTTAAAAAATATGAATGTTAATAATCATCTCCAGCTAGAAAGGTATAGTCTCAATAATAAATAAAAACATGGAGGCAAGAGTGTGTTGGCCATGCAGACATCCCATGAGAGTTGAGAAGACAATTTCCTATTCTCCTCACTTGGATGTTTCTTTTTCTTTCTCCTTCTGCATTCCCTCACCTCCCCATTATCTGATTCAGTATGAACAGAACCTCAAGTGGGTGTTGGAACCACAGGTGGTGGGCCCTCCAGGAAACCAACCAGCTTTCCAGGTGTTGCTGTGACCTGCACAATGCCGGAGGCCAGGGCTTATGAGGGTCATAGACTGGAGAACCTGGGAGAGGTGACTGCAACCCCCTTCTGGTAGAAATATGCAAGAACAGGTGGAGAAAAATACCCGTTAAGAGGCTGTTCCAAAGCCGGGGTCCTTTTATCCTTTTAACCAGAGGAGCAAGTTTACCGAGAAGGCGTGTTTCATGTACACAAACGCAAATGTCTTTTGGGTTTTTAAACAGTCTTAGCAGCTGTGTTGACTGGGCTATTGGAGTGGCTGAACAGGGACATCTTTTGAATACTCATGATGACCTCTTTGGCAACCAAGCTGGGAGTCTCGGATGTTTAGATGGGCTGGTCATTTCCTAGATCTCTCCTCAGGGCTCAACGAAGGTGACAGCTGAGTGGCAGACACATGCCAGAAACCCAATTCTCAATTCCCTGTCCCATGACCTCCAGAAAGAAACAGGGCCGACTCTTTCAATCTAGCAAGCGCCCCTCCCTGCCCAGACTGAGCAGTGCCGTCACCTGAAAACTACAGCCTGGTAAAAGAAGAATTAGACCAAGATTAGATTCTCAGAAAGGGCCTTCATTTTCCTCATCTGTAAAATGCAATAATAATACCCATCCTCTCTCTGATTGACCAGATTTCCGTAAGGAGGGGAAAGCTGACGCCCAAGGCTTATTTCTCACTCAAACTTTTTTTTCTGTTTGATCCTTCTTAGTCATTGACGGCCCCACGCAGATCCTGGTTCGAGATGTCTCCGATACCGTGGCTTTTGTGGAGTGGATCCCCCCTCGAGCCAAAGTCGATTTCATTCTCTTGAAATACGGCCTGGTGGGCGGGGAAGGCGGGAGGACCACCTTCCGGCTGCAGCCTCCCCTGAGCCAGTACTCGGTGCAGGCCCTGCGGCCTGGCTCCCGCTATGAGGTGTCAGTCAGCGCCGTCCGCGGGACCAACGAGAGCGATTCTGCCACCACTCAGTTCACAACAGGTACAGCTGCGGTGGAGGAGAGAGGCACAAGGAGGGAAAGGGGTGGAGCCAGCCGGTGGTGTCGTCAGAGCAAAAGGGGTATTGGGAATGAGGGAGGTGTGCCAGAGCGTCGGGCTTGTCACAGACACTGCGAGAGGTTTTCAGCACAGAGGAAAAGCAGAGCGCCGTCACTAGGAGAGGAGGACTAACTTCTCAGGCTACCTCTACTGCCGGCCCATCTGTGCTTGATAGAAATCCTTCCCCACTATGCGCCTCAGGTTTCCCGTTTGTAAAATGACAAGTTTGCCTTGAACACATGTAAGCATCCATATTGCTACTCCAAATGGCAATTTTGTGAGAATTCAGGAAAGGTGTCTCTTTCTCAAGGCACATCCTTACCATGTGCTGGAAATTGTCATCACAATTCTATACATCTACAATGACTACACCACCATGATGGTGTGCGCTGGCATTGCGCTAAGCCCAACCTGTACAACTCTAAGCAGACCTTCTGACAAATTCTGTGACTCACCATGACATTTGTAAGCACTAGCAGTAAAGCTAATATGAGTCTGACTCCCACCGACAGGAAGTTAATAAAGCCCATGGAAAACCTGCGTTGCTGTGATGACCAGCCACCCCTGCATTACCAAGGCCACTGGGATTCTTAAGGGGCTTTGCCAACACCTGGGAAAGGCCAGACCTTGGGTGACTTGCTCCCTGACTCTCTCAGTGCCCATCAGTCTGGCCAGCTAGTGGGCAAGTAGGACAGGCACCATCCAAAGGACGGGCTTCCTGGCACCCTTTATTGGGTCAATAAAGCACCGTGATCAGATTAGTGATTGTGTCTGCCATCCGCATTCTCAGTCTCACCCTCTTTGCCTTGGGGTGGTCACATGTCAAATAATATCTCTGCCAACTTCCAGTTGACCCAGGGATCAAAGAAAACTGATAACATCTATAAGGTCTAAGAATCAGCATCTTCACATGGGGTTAAGTCAAAGAACCACTAACTCAAGAATTCTACCTTGGATTGTGGCATAAGAGCCTGCTACAGAATGGAATGAGTCCAGAGACTTCAAAAAGATTCAATAAATAAGTAATAGCTCTGTGTTCCACTGGCTTTAAACTCCATTGATAAATAAGGCAAAGAGTGAAACAGATAGACACCAAACTGTCCCCTAGATTGCAGCATGTAGCTTAGTGTCATGACCAGATGGGTTTGCAAACTGAATAGCCACTGTGGACCTGGGCAAGTCTCTCCATATGGCAGAAGTTGGGGGACTACCCAGGTTAAGACAGCATGAAGGAACAAGTAGAGGCCTGAACCCTTGGAACAACCTGTCCCACAAGAGAGGGAACAGAAGGGTAATGCCCAGGCCCTACTGCAAAACTCAGCATTTAGATAAGCTTATTTTCTCCAGCAAAAGAGAGACAAGAGTCTTATAACAGGAAGGAAACATCAAGAGCAGGAAAGAGCTTGTCCCTTAAAAAGGAGCAAGTGCAGACTTTGACAAAATGGAGAAGGTGGGTTTGATTCTGAAAAAGACCCTTTTAGGTTTTCTCTCCAGCCCCTGGGCCAGATCCCATCCTCTCACCCAGGGGGTGCCCAGTGGGATTTGTACCGAACATATCTTGGAATCCCAAGTGACCAAACGTGCACTTGGAAACAATGAACTAAATTCTGTCTACTTCTCTTCCCTTCTGCTTCCTCACTGAACCAAAGATGCTTGTGTCCCTTCTTGGTTAATTCTAGGTCAGCTCTCACTTCCCACCCCTACAATACCACTTGCTCAGGGGGGTGGTATCTTCTGTGGGCCATGAGCCCTGCATCCTTTTCTTAATTTCAAGATAGTTTTGTTTGAAAAGTGGTTTCTTTATGCTCTGCTCCGAAAAGGAGTTTGAAGAGGCAAAAAAAGAGAAGAGAGCTCTTGAGCAGCATGGTGAAAAACAAATTCTTGATGTTCAGGTCGACAAGATGGAAGCAGGATTGGCTGGCGGCCCAGGAAAATTCCAATCAAGACAATTACATTCTGCCTCCTAGGAGCTCCCCCTGAGTTGCAGTTCATTGTTACATGGTTTTCTGTTTCCGGTTGCCTGGTGGATTGGCAGCTGTCAGCCAGCTGACTTCTTAATACAGCCTCAGCCTGCAAGTCAAATATGCTCCCCTCTGCTGGAGGAGGGTGAGGGGAAAGAAGGGATGAGGAGATGCAAACAGCACTGCAGACAGATTCTCCAGGCCTGGGTTGGCAGGTGCCAGTTGAATGATGAGAGGGTATCCAGCCCCTCACGATGAAGCCCTCAGTCATATCAGAGCTCCGCTTAAATTCAAATTAACCAAAGTGCTTTTCCAGGTGATGACTCTGACACTAGGAGTGCACTAATTGCACAGGCAATTAAAACGGAGATTTGCTTCCTGCATGGTGACTAGGATATTTGCTTGAGTTTAGAGCTGTTCTGAAAAAGGAAAGAATCCTGAACAAAGTGCACCATGGCCTGTGATTGGAGAGAAGCCAGCCCAGAAAACCAAGAAGCCAATCTCCAAAACCCCTCCCTGCCCTCAGCAGCTCTGGTTTCAGTTGCCCTCAGGAGGGAACTCCTGGGACCATTTCTCTCCTCTGGAGGTCTTCTCTTTAAGCAGATCCCTCAGGGTTCCAAGCACAGCCACCAGGGCATCTGGTCAACCAGAGGCCGCTGTTTTGACTTGAATGCCCCAGATCTCTCTTTATGGCTATTACAGGTTGAATCATGTTCCCTAAAAAGATGTCGAAGTCCCGATCCCGTATCTGTGAATGTGACCTTATTTGGATATAGGGTTTTTGCAAATAATCAAGTTAAAATGAGGTCATTAGAGTGGGCCCTAATCCAATATGACTATGTCCTTATAGAAAGGGGAAATTGGGCACAGAGACAGACATACCCACAAGAAGAACACCATGGTGAAAATGAAGGCTGCAATTGGGATGTGTCTTCCACAAGCCAAGAAACGCCAAAGATCACCAGCAAATCACTAGCAGCTACGAGAGGCATGCAACAGATTCTCACCCAGAAGGAAGCAACCCCACTGACACCTTGATCTTGAGTCTGTGAGACAATAATTTCTATTACTTAAGACACCCAGTGTGTAGTACTCTGTTATGGCAGCCCTGGGAAACTAATAGGAATATCCAAGTCCCAACAGCTCGAGCCCCTACCTGCTTGGTAGTGATGCTTCTCTCGGACTCTTCAGGAAATTCTTCCACAATTTCAATCTGGATGGCACTTGCCACCTCAGCTAAGAATCTGGCTGCAAATAGCAGAGTGGGGCTTCCTGCTCATACAAGACCAGCACTCTCAGTCAAAGCTATCCTGTTTTTCTGCACCTTCTCACCCTAAGCATTCTCAATGCCCCACAGCTGAAATATTTAACAAGACTTTTCTAAAACCTGATTTGTGTTTATCAAACACATACCACGTGCCAAGCACTATTCTAGGCACTGAGTTTACAGAATACACAGAGAGACAAGATCCTGGTTCACATGAATTACATTTCAGTGGAAGAACTGGACAAGGAAGAAAAGACACACCCAAAATTGTTCTGATCATGAGTGCTATGATGTAAAGTGAAATAAACGATCCAGAGGGATGGCCACATAGGGCTGAGCAGTTTGAAAAGGACTCTCTGAGAAGGTAATGTTTTAACTAAGACCTAGATGACCTAAGCCATGTGAGGATCTTGAGAACATTCAAGGCAAAGGCAAAAGCCAGTGCAAAGGTCTTGAGGTAGGAATAAGCCTGATGAGTTTCAAGAGCAGAAAAAAAGCAACATAGCTGGGACACAGCAAATAAGTGTAGATGTCATACATGGTGATATCTGAGCAGCTCAGCTCCCATCTACAGGGGTGCCCTCAGTGGCCCCTCCCTCCTACAGTTCAGACTTCAGGCCGGATCACGCAGAGCGCTGCCAGCCACAATTAGGAGTTTATAACAGGAAGCAACAGAAAAGTTTCAAGCAGGGGAATACTTAATCTAATTTACATTTTAGAGACTAGATATATCTATTCCAGTCTCAAGTCTCTCCACAGGGCCCCCCACTAGACATCTGTTTTTGCCTTGCCCTTGACCTGCTGACATTGCAGGCAACAGCTCAGCTCCCATCTACAGGGGCGCCCTCAGTGGCCCTCCCTCCTACAGTTCAGACTTCAGGCCAGAGGGAGCAAACAATTTCAACTCATCCTAGCTCTAACAACCACCTTCGCAGACCTCATTCTCAGGATTGACTTCTCTCAGGACCATTGACATTGGAGGTGTCTGGTCCCTTCAGAGACAACGCTGCCCCTTAATCTACAGGCCACAATCTCTATGATCAAAAATACAAAAAAAGAAAGAAACAAAAAGAAAACCCGAAAACATAGTCTTTCTAACATTTCTAAGGCCTGGGTTTTTAGCTGTGGAGAGCACTAGGTAGAAGTCTCAACCTTAACCCTAAACCTAAATTAATTTTGCTCCAGTTCACTTCGAGCTGCACATCTCAAGCCCAGCCCAGTCCCTTTGCCCAGCCTCTCCTTGTGCATGAAATGTAGGGGCATACAATGCAGGGGCAGGTGTTCCTCCACATGCCTCTCCATCCAAGTTCCTCTCTCCATCCAACTGCTAGAGAAATAACACACATAACACATCAAGAATGCATAGGATCTGGCAATCTAAAGTATAGTAAGTGAGGAAATATTTCGCAGGAAAACAAGCTGCAGAGACATAAATCTGCTGAAAGATTCACCCAATTTACATCACTAAACAGAACACTTTTCACTCCGAAGCCTCTGCGCTCAGACTGATTCACAGCATTTCAGTTTCCACAAGAACAATTGGTGGAAACTTGCCTTGCATTTGCAAATTAAAACAGTCCACTGGAGGTTTTCTCAGAATGAATGGCTAGTTCACCCCAAAGTTAAATTCAAGTGTCAAAGGCAAGAACTATTTTAAATGTTTTCAGTGACAGCTGTTCTGGGCAGCATCTTGTTGCACGGCAAGTTGTTTATGCTGTTTCTGCCCCAAAGAGGCCCGAGGAGATAGGCAGTCCTGGGAGAAAAAAAAGCAGTGGCCCCGTGGTCTTTCTGTGGCAACCCAAGTGAGCAAGCATTGGGGTTGTGGAACTCAGAAAAAGCTTCAGAGGCCACAGGAAGCCAGCCCAGGCCTTGGGCACCTATTTCTGTACAGGGCATCAAGCTATGTTCTGCACGTGGATTGCCTAATTCATGCAACAACCTGAAACGTTGGCATTATCTGCCCTTTTTACAGAGGTGGCCATCAAAGCCAAGCAAGGTTAAAAGACTTGCCCATGGTTCCATTACCAAAGATGTCAGAGCTGGGGATCAAACTGAAGCCTGACTCCAAAGCCTATATTATTTCTGCTACATCACATACTCCATATATCTTTTACCTTTACAGCTGTGTTTATGCAAGTAAACACAGGGGAAGGCACCTTATACTTCAAAATCTTGAAATCAACAGTTTTCTTTTTGTTTAGTGGTCAAATTTGATATTGTTCTATTCCATCTCCATCGCTCAGGAGCTGGCTCTGATTTTCTTTTACTGGGGTCTCCCTTGTTTTGTTTTTAAGCTCATGATGTTGACTGGCTCATTTTAAAGCTTCCAGAATGCCACTGGAACTCTTGAATGGAAATAGGGGAAGTACAAAGTGTGTCAATCTCCACCTCCCAAGTAATACTCTCACCTGTCCAAGGAATTTGTCATGGCAGACCAAAAAGCTAAGGGTAGCTACAGTGTTCACTCAAATGTGAGCTAGAGAGTCAGGGGGTGTGGGCTGTCACCTCCAATTGTTTCAGAGTTCAAGATGCACCACAAATGTACATGACATTATCACAAATAATGTTGGCGATGTCTGTTTTTAGAGATCGATGCCCCTAAGAACTTGCGGGTTGGTTCTCGTACAGCAACCAGCCTTGACCTCGAGTGGGATAACAGCGAGGCCGAAGTTCAGGAGTACAAGCTTGTGTACAGCACCCTGGCGGGTGAGCAGTATCACGAGGTACTGGTCCCCAAGGGCATTGGTCCAACCACCAGGGCCACCCTGACAGGTGAGTAAGACCCATCTCTTGAAGTGTGCTGGTTGCTGAGTCTACACCCTCATAGTTCTTTCCCCAACCCACCCACCTTACGAACCCATGGCCAGTTCCTTTGGATCTCATTTCTTAAGTGCCTTGCAAATATGCCTAGTACTGTCCATTGTACGGCCATCACCTGTCTAAGCTACTATCATCTCTTTTTTTTTTTTTTCTTTGAGATGGAGTCTCTCTCTGTTGCCCACACTGGAGTACAATAGCGTGATCTCAGCTCATTGCAACCTCCACCTCCTGGGTTCTCATCTCTTATCTTAACCACTGCAATTGTTAACCTCACATTGTGTCCTGGCCCACCCTTCACACCTTCAGTGACTTTTTCAAAGCACATTTTTGATTATGCCATTGCACTGTGCAGATATTCCAGGGACTTCCCACTGCTCTTAGGATAAGCCCAAACCTTAGCCTAGTTTCCCCTGCCCTCTCCAGGCTCACCTCCCACCAACATCCCCTGGTGCTTTCTGGGCTCTAGGCCCACAAGTCTGCTTTTTCCCATTTCTCAAACACGTTTTCCTTCCTGCCACAGGGCTGGCACATGCTGTTCCCTCTGCCTGATGGGAACCTTTTCACCTAACCAATGCAGGCTTCCCTTTCCACTCCCAGGTCACTCCCCACTTCAGGGAGCCTATTTGGTTCCTGGGAGAGGTCAGTTCCTTGTGTCCAGCAGCCTCATCTTGTCAGTTTCCACTCACCTCTTAGCACTCCTCAGATTATCATTTTACATGTGTGGCATGATTTGACTGTCAATCTCCACCCAAGACCTAAATCTCTGTGAACATTAGACCATATTCGGTTTTGCTCTTCATTGAATCTCAGGGTTCAGCATTTCCTGAACAAATGAATGAAATGCAGAAGTTCACTATGACTTGGGTATGGACTGCAAGAGTTCACTGATAAAGTGAGAGCTGAGTCATGCCTTGTTCACCCTATGAAACGTTTGGGTTTATTCTTTGGGGCAATGAAGAGTCATTGAGAAATTTTAAATAAGGTGATGTAACAACTGGATTGTACAGAGAAGGGCAAGGTCAGAGGCAGAAAGACTGGTTAGAAGGCTGTTGGTGGAGTCAAATGGAGACGATGATGGCATGGACTAAGGCAGTGTCCGCCGTCACCATGACACCTGGCCGGGAAGTGTTCCCTGCCCCCTGGGAGTATGATACCCAGTGAACACCTCTCCTGAGGCCTTTGGCTCACCTATCCAAGAAAACCTGCCTGCCCAAACTCACCAAAGGGTAGAAGACTGGAAATGGGGCATGGTTTTCAGATGAAGGAGTTACTGTGCAGAACAGTCATGGACCAGGAGCTGCCAATGTTCTCAAAGACAGAGAGTTTGCTTAACTTGTGTCTTGGATTCCTGCAAAAGTATGTGCTGTCTCAGTAGACAAGGGATACACAGCAAAGAGTGTGTACAGTAAACAAGGGCAGTCTAATCAAAGTTGTTTTCTTCCCAAGTTAAAATCCCAGGCCGCCTTGCCAAATACAGCCAGTTAAAGTAAATATAATAAATGCCTTTTCCAGACAGACGCAATCCTGAAGGCATAGCAAGGAGATGGGAAGATATGCTGATCAAGCAGATTAACAGGGTGAATTAGGCAGAGAAAGGATAGGCCAGCTGGCATACGGCCTCACAGAGAGCTAGAAACAGTCACAAAAATTAAGCTAAACCAAAAAAAAAAAAAAAAAAAAAAAGAAAAAGAAAAAACTGAAATGATACAGGAGGGAACTGATTCTGAGCACAGCCCATCCCTGCCTAGAGCCGCAGGCTAATTTGGTAATTAGCAGTTATATAAAATCGACGGCTAGCTGTTCAGATGGAGGATGCACCAAGAAATCCTGAGAGAGACAGAAAACCCAGACACATCCTAGTTATTATTTCCCACTACTGGGAAAAAAGAAGATTCAACACTCACGGATCATCTGTCTTATTCCAGGCACCTCATACAGTTACAGCTTCTTTCATCCTCACAACCACCCTCATGAGGTAGGTATGGTTAGCGTCCCCTCTGTACAGATGAGGGAACTGGGGCTCGTGGAGTTTGAAAACTTGCCCATGTTCACAAAGCTGGCAAGGGACACAGCTGTGATTTAAAGCCAGTCCCTCTGAGTCCCAGTCAGAAGGTTCCCCTTCCACAGCTGCTTCTGCTAAAGAATTAAAATGTAAGGGACCATCCACATTTAAATGCCACCAACCTAGAAGGGATGGGAAAATTATTATTGAGTAGGGGGCTTAAATAGGTTGATTTTTTGTTACAGTCAGATTTAAAACATTTTGAATATATATATTACATTATATTACATTTTCATATTACACATAATTATTTGAGGGAGCTCTCTGCTGGGGAGATTTATAAAGGCAAATAGCTTAACATAATTTAAGAAGGGATTACTGGCACATGAGGAAATCAAGTATATTTGTACTCACTGAGACACTAGTTGCAAGGATTGCTGGTTCTCTTGCTGAGGCTTCCAGGGAAGGGAAGGGAGAGCCATGAAAAAGAGAAAGGAACAAAAGGGAGCAGCTTGACTCTGGCTCTAAAACATTGTGCTTTCTCCCTCACTCTCCAACTTGAAGCCTAAAGAGTTCAGTTTTTCAGCCTCCAACGCTTGTGTTCAGACTCAGTTTGATTTGAATGCTCTGCTCCATGCAACACGCTAAGAGCCTAGACTTTCAGCTCTGTATCCAGGCTTGCCACTTGCTGTGTGATCTGGAACAGTCGATTTAACCTCTCTAAGCCTCTGTTTCTTCATCTGGTCCAGGGGACAGATACCACTGACCCCACAGCACCATCATGAGGTGTTCATGAGGCAATACATGTAACTAGTTGAAGGTAGTGCTTCTGACAACAAACTACTCAGTAAGTGGATGACAGTGGTGGAGAAGAAAGATATGAAGAGATCTGTGAGCTACTGGATGGTTTGGGATGGCCTCCTTTAGTCCACATGGCATAGTGGTGTAGACCCTTGCCTCTCACAGCGTGGTACAGCACCAGCAGCCCGGGCATCACCCCCAGAAATGTTGGAGGCCTCTTTCCCCAAGAACTACTGACCCAGAGCCTGCATTTTAGGACCCCTACTTCAATGAAATCCATGAGCAAGAAGCAATCACTTAGAGCACAGCTTTGGGAATGCCCCCACTCAGGTGTGAAGCCAGCTTCATAAAGTGTGCATCCTTGAGCAAAGTTCTTCAACTTCCTGCACTTCAGTTTTCTCATCTGAAAGACATCCTGTCCACCTCATTGGGTTGTTGTGAGGATTAAATGAAATCATACATAGATCTCTATTCAAGCACTTCGGATGGAGCTGGGCACACAGCAAGCACTCAATACCCATTCAACTTTTTATTGGTATTCATCCCCGCAAAGCTCAGACCTGAAGCCACGGCAGCCTGGCCTTTGCCAGGCACAAGGTCAGGCCCCCTTTACTCTCACTGCTGACTCTCAACCCTTAAAGCTCTGTGGCACCTGTGTTTGCCATCCCCTGCAGGAGTCCTTGTCTCTGAGGCCACCATTTTCCTCTTTGCTGTGGAATTCAGGCGCTTCCTCACTCTCCTGGTCTCTGAGCCATTCCCAGGGCTTGCTGGCAGCAAGTACCCTCTCCCAACCTTCCTTTTTACAAATGTCATCCTCTGCCACATAGAGTCCAGGCTGAGGCCCAAAATTCCAAACCTTCCCTCCACCTCCATTATTCTCTGTAGGCAATGTCCAGAGAATTCCTTCTGGGATATGAATTTGGTTCTGAAGAACAGACTCAATGTCTGTAATGATTTTTTTTCTCTGCTCTGGTGGCTTCTGTAAGTCTGTTTTAGGCTCAGTCACTTAACCTGGATGATGTCTTTTTGGCCTGTGCACCATACCTATAGTCCTAAAGGGGTCCTTGAGTATTACACGCCTTACTAGCCAGATTAGAACCTGGCACCAGGTAACAGGGTACAACACTACTCTGCTTTCTGAGCAGCAACAAAAAACAATAAATCATTTAGAAAACTCCAAATGGAGGGAAGGAGGGAGGGAAAGAGAGAGAGCGGGGAGGAGAAGATTTTTAGTTCCTGATTGCAATTTGGCCAAAAACATCAACTTCCCTGCCTGGGACTAACGCAAATTACAAACACTACTCTGGCCTTTGTGTCTGAGGTGACTGTTCTAATCTGTCAACAAAAAGGCGTGTGGCTGCTGTGTTTTAGCAGGAGGGAGCGGGCTTGCCCTCAGCCATCCACACTTTCTCACCTGGTATTCCCTCATTAACAGAAGCCCAGGATCCTTGAGGATTTCATGACCAGGAAACAAGGCAAAAGGAGCCGGGCCCACATGGCCACAGGAGCCCCATGCTCTGACAACCATCCCTTCATTGCACCCTTCACCCACTCCACAGGGCACCTGCCTGTGGGTCTCATGGTGGCACTTGCCAACCTGCTGCCTCTCCCTGTATCAGGACTATCTCTATCTCAGTTGACAAGCTGAAAAATTGCCAGCAGAACCTTGGAAATCCAGAAGCTTGACAGTTCCTACAGATGTGATACAACATAGGACTGCAAGAAAACAGACTCACAGCCAGCCACACTTGATGAGCTCACACCACAGGCACACACAAACACACCTACACACTCATATGCACACATACATGCACACACTTACATACACACCACACATGCTCATGCATTGACACACACTACACTTTCATATACCCTCACTCTCTCTCTCTCTCACACACACACACACACACACACACACACACACACTAGGCTGACGTCCGCAAGCATGTCCCGATCATGCTTTGGGAGTTGCCACCTTCAAGATTTCTGGCCCAAATGGGGATCTAGTGGTGAGAAGATGGCCTCCTCAGAGTACCTTGGCAGGCCATGTGCTTGTCCACAGGAGAAGAAATCTGAGACTCCAGAGGGAGTCCAGCTGGCAAGTCAGCACTGACCACAGCACTCGATGCCCACGTCGCCCTGTCTACAC